CTAAGATCCGGTGGAAGTCAATTAACTGGGGAAGGATCAGGTGGCAAGTGGCGAAGGGAACCTCGAATACAGAAATTGGAGATGCCGGTGTTAGAAGGAGCTGATCTAGATGACTGGGTTTTTCGTGTGGAGAGGTATTTCAGCGTCAATCGCCTCACAGAGGAAGAAAAAGTAGAGGCGGCCGCCGTTTGTTTTGACGGCGAGGCGTTAGCTTGGTTCAAATGAGAAGAACGACGCCGACCTATGAGATCGTGGGAAGAGTGAAGACTCAATTGCTGAGGTGGTTCAAATCATCACAGGAGGGGTCCCTTTGTGCCCAATTTCTCTCTCTCAGGCAAAGCTCCACCGTAAGGGAATATCGCCGGCGATTTGAAACACTGGCATCACCATTGAAAAGGGTATTAAAAGAGATTTTGGAATGTAATTTCCTCAATGGTCTTAACCCAAGGATCAGGGCGGAGGTCCAGCCACTAAGACCAACGAGCCTTGAGCAAATGATGGAGGTGGCCCAAGTGGAAGAAGACCAGGATCTGGGTGGCATAGTGATGGCCTTGAAGGAGGATTCCCTTACCCGTCCAAGTTATTCCTCAGTTCAGGGGACCTTGCTATATAAAGGACGGATTGTGTTACCCAAGGCTTCCCCATTCATCATGTTGGCATTACAAGAAGGACATGACAGTAAGGTAGGTGGTCATGGGGGGTTCCTAAAGACATACAAGAGTGTGGCTAAAACTTTTCATTGAGTTGGAGTGAAGAAGGATATTAGGGCATATGTTGCCACCTGTGAAATATGCCAATAACATAAATACTCCACTCCGGCTCTGGCAGGGTTGTTGCAACCCCTTCCCATACCAGAAAAAATTTGGGACGACATTTCCATGGATTCATAGAAGGGTTACCTAAGTCCGAAGGTTTCGACTCTATCTTGGTGGTGGTCAACCTCTTAAGTAAGCATTCTCATTTCATCAGTCTTAAGCATCCTTTTACAGCTCCATCTGTTGTCGCAATTTTTGTTAAGGAAGTGGTCAGATTGCACGGAATCCCGAGGTCGATAATTTCAGACAGAGATAAAGTGTTCTCGAGTAAATTCTGGTGTGAATTGTTTCGCTTGCAGGGGACCAAACTAAAACATAGTTCAGCATATCACCCACAAACCGATGGACAAACGGAAGTAGTGAATAGAGGGGTTGAGACCTACTTGCGTTGTTTCACATCCACACGGCCGAAAGAGTGGTACCGTTGTCTTCCTTGGGCTGAATTTCCTTACAACACCTCCTTCCACGTGTCCTCACAGCCTTTTCGCATTGTTTATGGGCGGGACCCTCTCTCCTTGTTGCAGTTTGAAAAAGGAACAACAGTGGCATCTTCACTAGATTAGCAATTGGCTGATCGGGATAAACTATTGGATGAGCTCAAGCTTCACTTACATCAGGCTCAGCAACAAATGAAGAATATGGCTGACAGCAACAAATGAAGAATATGGCTGACAGCAACAAATGAAGAATATGGCTGACAGCAACAAATGAAGAATATGGCTGACAGGAAGCGGCGGGCAATGGAGTTCTCAGTGGGGGACATGGTCTACTAAAAGATGAGACCTTACTGCCGCAAGTCCTTGGCTCATTGTAGTAACGAAAAACTGGCTCCCCGGTATTATGGGCCTATGAAGGTTTTGGCTAAGGTTGGGGAAGTTGCATAACAACTGGATTTGCCAATGGGGACACAGGTTCATCCAATCTTTCATGTTTCACAATTACGCAAGGCAGTAGGGGAACACCATTTGCCTTCCCAGTTGCCTCTCAATCTTGGAGCTGACTGGGAACTACCGGTAGAGCCAGAAGCTGTGTTGGGGGTGAGGTCCCAGAAGACATCAACAGGGTTAGAGGCGCTGATTCAGTGGAAAGGGTTGTCACCATTGGAAGCTACTTGGGAACCATTCAGTCTCATTTCCAAGCAATTTCCTACCTTCCACCTTGAGGACAATGTGGCTGAATTGGGGGGGTAATTGATAAGCCCCCGATAAAATACACTTATTATAGAAGGAACAGAAAGAAGTGAGAAGGTGGAGGTCTGTAACAAACGGTTAGGAAGGCAGGCTAAAGCAGTTACGGTAGTCTATAAATAAAAATTGTGTATGGGGAGTGAGGCATGAAAATTGTTGAGTGAAATACATAGCGAGGAGAGGTAGCCCTCTCGAATGGCTGAATATTAATTTTCCTTGCAATCGCTCTTTTATTTCTGATCAGTAAAAAATCAGTTCATCTTTCTTCAATTTCTTCAGTTTTGGTTAGATCCTATCACATGCATGCATACAACTTCCAGTACAAAAACTGAGTCATGTATGCAGTGCATTTAGCAACGCTATCAAAAGCAAGGAACCAACATTAGAAAATCAAATTTTCCATGTTCAAGCTCAGTTTCAGATGACAGGTTTTACAATGGAGCCCGAACACGGACATAACAAGATCTGATTTTCGCATGCAAACAGGCTGGTGCCACAGCAAATAGAACTTAATTCAACAATATGAGCTCATCGCAAAGAACCCCAACCAGGTAAAAAAAATCTGCATGATAAAGTCTTCATAAAACTTGATGAGACACCAAGCAAAACTCATCCAAACATTTAAAGTGAGCACCTCTGAGAAGGCACACGCACGAACTATGTGCTTGTGTTCGAAAGAATGCAGTTCATCCCCAGTTAAAGCATCCCATAATTTCCTGCAAACAAAGTCCACATGCATCATTAAGGAATAATCCCATTAAAGGTTCCATGACAAGCAATGGATACAAACTTCTGATAGAACCTGTACTTGCAGTTTGTTGCTAGCCAAACATCATCAATTTCAGTGTAAAATAAGAAAATCCAATGACATGTGGACCAAACTTTACCAACCATTGATTTGATAATAACTTTTAACAAAAATATTACAAAGATCTATAGATGGAAAATCTTAATTTCATGAACGAATAAAGACACTGAAAGAACGTGCCACATACGCTGAAAAATCAGCTGAAGCAGAGGCAGCACGCAGAGCATGTTTATCCAGGCAACAACTCCATACTGCACCTTTATGCCCTTGAAAGGTTCCAATCCAATCCCCTGTCTCTCCATTTCTTAACATTGGGGTGGAATCTGAGCAGA